GTAGGTATTTTTGCAGAGTAAGATTTTACAGATAGTGACAAGAAAGGTTTTTTAAAAAGCCGGCATCCTGTCGTGACCGAGATATCTTAGGATTCAGCTGCATGTTAATCAATATTACTACCTTACTTAAGTAATTTGTCCGAATAGAAATCAGATTTCAGAATTTCGATTGAGGGTTGGGGTAGGAACAAAGAGTCGCAATGCCGTATTCAGGCAACATTGGCCAACAAAATATCAAGTCAATGGTAATTCGAATGTCCGCTTGTATATAAACTTCTAGCAATCTTCACAGCATGTAAAAAACTTATGTTACAATCCTTCATTTGCCAAGGAAATTGGATATCGTTGACCGGATGCTGAGCAGAATGGAAGAGTATTCGGCGGCTTTGGAAAATGAGGTGAGCCAACGGACAGTTGAGTTGCGGGAGGAACAAATGAAGACAGAAATGCTTATTGCTAAGATGCTGCCCAGGTGCGTTGGCTATGCAGACTTATGTTATAACCATGAGATAAAAAGTTTGTTTATTTGCTACCTGTAAGTTCGGTTTATTGCACGAAATCCGGAGTTTCTACACAAAAATACATGCGAGAAAATACAGTCAAACGGCCATAATCCTGAACAGTAATCAAAGATATTCCAGAGCTTTTATGCCTGACGTATTAGCTATCAGTTAGATAGAATTGCCGTCAAAGATAAGGGAGAACGAAATGGCCATTGGTGGCTTATGATTCGTCAGCCAGTCATGCCCAACCCCAAGTTGTGTACAACCGCAGGCTCGAAGTCGTGACCTCTTCGATCAGAGTCTCACATTCTAACAATTGAGTCACGAGCTAGTTGTTTTGTCGTCAATAGTGCTGCCTAGACTACTAGCCACTATAGTCGCTAGGCGCCCCCCAGAAATGAGACCCAATGCAGAGCGGGAGTTCCGTTAGCGGTCGGGGAACGTTCGTCAACGAGTGTGCGGTATCCATCAGTTTGACCAACGGTTAATTGGCTCAGACGTTTATTCAGGACCGAACCTCCTGATAGTATGTGCATATCACGAATATACTGTGTTTACGATTGCCGCGTTTTCGTTAAATTAGTTTGATAATGTTGCAACTAAAAAGAGGAGCACTTATTTGGACAGAGAGCCTGCGCAGTGATTGATGATATTGAGGAAGGCACGCGTAGTTAAGGGTGGAACGGATAGTGTCTAGTGTCGATTAGAGGTTCTATCAAACTCATTCGGAAGAACATGAGGTAAGAAGGCGTAGACCGATACAGAATGTACTAGTGACATAAATCAATTTAGTATACATTGAAACAAAAAATGCAATAGGTAGGAATGAGTTATTTTAGAGGGATGATGAGAGAGCACGCGTGAGAGAGGATTTCGCTTTATTTTAACATAAAATGTGATACAGTTACGGTGACCGGGATATAACTTAATAAATGGCACAAGAGTAAAGCGGGGACACCATTAAGACAACTGAAAAAACGGTGGGGAGTGCAACACTGTGGACAACTACGAGGAAGGGCCATAGAAGGTGCCGAGAGGGAGGAAAATTTTGAAAAATTTTGTTGGAGAGACTTCAGCAGTTTTGAGGGAAGAGACACGGACTATTTGCATTGACACACGGTTGCACAATCTCTCCTCCAGATCCGAGCAAAAGATAACTTCAGAGAATTTAAACAAATCTTCTCAGTGGGTGGTCCGTTACACCCGACTTTATGCTGGCTAAGATTTCAGTCAAACACTGTGTTATGTTCTGCGCGATTTCCAATGCTACGATTTAAAAATAAATTTGGCAAACAATTTATTTTTGGCTAATCATCCTCAATGCGCTGACTCCGTCATTAAGTCGACGTAGGGACGAAAAGATGATTGACAACCCCCTTCAGAAATGTCCAAAAATTACTACCGTAAGGACATTTTGCCGGCAACGCGTTGTCCCTTGATTAAATTGACATTTAAAAATAGTCGAATAGTTATGAAACGAAACTAAAAGAAAGATATATTTTACGGTTTCTTTATTTTTGACTGACGATTTTTTTTGTACAAACACATCCTGACAGTGAGCGAAAACCAGCAGCAGTAAATTTTGGATGAAACAGAAAGTATAGATTTCCTCTTG